CAAGTGCCTACATAATGTAACTACTATTATATTATATTATATTATATTATATTATATTATATTATATTATATTATATTATATTATATCAGTGGCAGTGTCCTTTCTCACTTGGTTGTGTCTGTGGTGAGAAAGGGCATTTGAGCTCATCAAGGAGGAGCAGCAACCTGCTGGTAGACTTCCAGTAGCTGCCTCCTGGCCACCGCCTTCTTTCAGCCCCCCACCCCCACCCCTCCTCTCTCCGCTTCTTCCTCCTCCTCCTCTTCCGCTACTGCAGCAGTAAAACCCGGTGTCTCCTGCATCCATGAAGAGATCCCCCCTCCACGGCACCTCCCCCGCCACGATGGGCCGCGAGCAATTAACTGCGTTGATGTGTTGATATTGAGATATTTCAGTTATCAAATATGAATCATGCATTTGATATTTCTGGCCACTTTGCTCGTCAGCATCCTTTTGCCTTGGCTTCATCCATCACTAGCTTCACTCGGTAGGTACTGCCACAGCCTGCTGGCTTTTTTGTCACTTTAATGTGATCGCGTACGCTTACCACTCTGTGCTTTGTGCTGAAATATTGTTTGGTGATGTGCTTTGGATCTATAACAGCGTTCCTCGGGAGCCACCGGGAATTATTGTATTTAATACGCTGCGTCTTTAGCGTGATGCTGCATGAGGGCAGACTACAGCATCTCAGCATCTTTTGTTCAGCTAGTAAAAACACAATGATCACTGTTATGGATATTTACTACGCTTGAATTAAGTCTAACACACAGGCTCTGTGTTTGTTCAAGTGCGTGATATTATCCAGGCACGCCGGATTAAATGAGAACAGTATTTATCTGGTGCAGTTTTTACTTTGGCAATAACCGTATCAAAAGTGTTTTTTATTTAAATGAGGCAGTTTATAGTCTGTGTTCCAAATCAGTGTAATTGGTGGTGGCTATTAGTTTTTGAGTATACTGCTGCGTGTAATCACTGCAGATGAACTGTGTCATAAAATTGGCATAAAGCTAAAGCCACTTGCCTCAGTGTAACAATTGTGTTTAATGAATTAAAGATGATACCTTTGTGCATATCTGTAGTTTTAAAAAACATATATATGTATCTGTGCTGTAAAAAATCCCTTGCAGAGGTTCAAGGAGTAGAGGACAAGGTTGAGAGGGACGCAGTGTCGGCTCTGCTGAAGCAACAGGCAACTGCAGCACCCACCACAGACAACACAACACACCATGCAGTAGAGCATGTGATCACCTACCCCTCTCGGTTGATCTACTACCTAAACGAGGACTCTGAGAGTACCTACCATGACCTGAACACCCATGCTAAGAACCAAGCTTCAGAGGGCCAGGTATGTGGAAGAGGGGTGGATGAAGATGATTAGTGCTTGCATAGCCTTGATTGTGCAAAAAGTTTGCAAGATGTGTGGTCAAAGGTTGTAGTACATAATAATGCGTTGTTTGGTCTGATCCCAGTATTTCATGTCAGTTTGCTGTAGAGAATCAGTCAAAGCTAAGATAATAGTCAAAATAGACCCACTTAGCATAGTTTACGTGTTTCTTTAGCAACTGGAGTGATGCCAAAGCAAGTGTGCTGAAAGAAGCACTTCTTCCCGTCAACCCACTGTACATTAACATCCGTCATTGATACAGCACATCTGTTCTTTGTGCATTGTGCTGTAAACGAAGTTGAAGGCAGACCCTGGAGGATTTTGGCTCAGTGAGACGCTGCTATAATCTTATTTGTTTTGCAAGCTACCATTATCTGCAGTGACTACTCTTTTTCTCTTCTACAGGCAGTCCACCTAGCCCAAGTTAGTTTCCAGTTAGAGGCATTTGGCTCCAGATTTGTTCTAGATCTGTCTCTTAACAAGTAAGTTCTCCTAATCTAATTTAACCACAGCGATTTATTTCACTTAAATTGGTTAGTGTTATTGATTGTGGGCTTTTTTTTCTGTGAAACTCAGAGATGTGTAAGGATTTTGTTTATCTCCCTGTCCTTGTTTTTCCCCCAAAATCTCACCACCAGACTGACTGAGTACTAATCAAGCATGAGACAAAGACGCATCACAGCCCTTTATGGGAAATGACACCAGATGATAAGAACATGTAAAAGAGTATTTGTTCTCAAGGTCATCTTAACAAAAATGACTAAATAGATGAAAACAATAGAATTTCAGTATCTTGTATCATGCTGGCCTTGTGACCAGCATCCATATAGCCTATCATAGACACTCTTCACTCTATAATACGTGGTGTACAATTAAGATAACTCTTATTTCCTGTTTTAAATCCTTTACTAATTTAAATATAAATCTGCTTGTTGCAGATTTTGGTGTACCATAATAATAATAAATATAATGAAATTGTTGTCATCAGAAAGATACAAAATATAAAGACCAGTGTAGGACTCAAAGAGAACATGCATAAGTGCACTACACTTGTATTTCATGACAGCACAGAGCAGACGTTCAGTGAACTGAAAGTCGACTCGGACTATGATACGAAGCGATGAACCACGTCGAGTAGCTGACTCTTGTTTGTAAATGATATGTATAATGTGTCAGAACAGAGCTTAATGCAGCATCAATTGAAGATAATGTAATCAGGGAAACTGTGGGTCAGCACGTTGGTTGCTAAGTGCTAAGAGCGACGTCAGCTCAGCAGCCAGACTAGTTTTATATGAAGGATTTTGGATAACCAACATCTCTATATTTAATGAGGATTTAATAAGCTTGCATCAAAATGAGGATGGAGACGGCTGCTCTGTGTTCTGCATCTATTGATTCACTCCCTGTATAAAGAAGCCTGGCGTACATGTGAAAAATTCCTGTAGGACGTAGTTACTTTTATGTTTTCTTATCATGTGGTTGGATATTCAGCTTGTGCCTGTGGCTTGCTGAGATCACAGAGGATGTGCCATAAACTTAAGATCCTGTAAACACGCTTTGAAATTACTTTACACAGTTGTTACTTCAGCTATAATGAAGGAAATGTTGGAGCTTTGGCTTCATAGTGGTTTGCGTATCATGTGAGTGCCCACGTCAAGGCTGATAAAGACTTGTAGGCAGTGCAGCAGTATGGAGCAATTAGTATTTGTTTTATTGCCCAAATGTACAAGTTCAGAAATCTTCTGCAGTCTGCGGTTTTGGAGATCACATATCGGCGCTGGGATATCTTCAGAGCGTCTGTCACTGCTATCTTCGTTTTAAGTTGAACATTTCCCGTGAGGTTTAGCTGAAATGAAAAATACATCGCTTCTTGTATCGCATGCATCATGTCAAATGACAGAAAAGCCTGTCACTCCGTTCAGGAATCACCACATAGTACAACAGGAAAATCTCAGCAGCAGTGAAGAGGCCTGCACGTGTGACCTTGATTCCCAGCTGTTTGCTTGTAGGCTCTCGACTAGATGCTTTTTTTGTGCAAGAATAGGGGTTTGAATTCTGCTTAGTGTTGTAGCTGCAGCAGCACTGATCTAAATATAGATAGGTCTGCACCCTGCTAGTGGGTGCTGCTTTATCTGCTCACCTCTTACCGTACCTGGAATTGTAAGCAACTAAAAAGATGATTTACAGAAACTAATACAAGTCTTACTTTTAAAGAATCTGGATGTTTTTGAAATGCGTTAGTTAAATCGTCAGTGGCCACAATGGCGACTTTGTCTGGGAGATTTTCTTCCTTTGCCGTCTTTCTGAATACTTAATAGCATCTCCATATATTAAGCCTCAGAGCAGATTATTGCCTTGCATGAACAGCATGAGTGTGTCATGTGCTGCTACAGGATTTTAGAGTTACATTTGATCTGGCGCCAGACGTGAGAACCTCCTGCAGCTCTTTGGTCCCTTCTCTCTCCTTTACCTCTTTGTGCCTTTCATGTGCTGCTGCCTCTCCTGCTGCATTGTGGCGCTCCGTCTCCTGTGAACCAAGAGACCTTGGGGCAGAACTCCCTCCTCATGGTCTCCACGCGCAACCGTGGCGCATAGACATTTAAACAGACACACGTCAAGATGCTCACGCTCCGGCGCTTTACCTTTCCACACTCAGTTTTGTTACCAGCCAGCCAGAGAGCCAACCACACACTTATGCACACACAGCCGTTCAAACACCGATACACTCTGGTGTGGCCCACTCTTCTCATCTGTCAAGCTATAAATAGCCCTTCACTCAGGAATCTCTCAGAGACTGCTCGCGCCTTGGCTCTCCTCTCGTAATGGTGCACTTCCTGTTCACATGCTCCAACGCATCACTCAAAAAAATGGTCACACTGCTGGTGTCACAATACAGAGCCACTATTTCCATCCTTTTTTTTCTTGCTGCGGCACAGCTATATGTTCAGAGAGGAGGGATGTTTCCGTTTTGCAAGGTTACTCAGAAAAAAAAAAGCGCCATTGTGGCAGAAATTATCTCTTGAAGTCAGCTAGCAGACCGAGCGCGTGAGGGACGCTGACTCAGGGAGCTGCTGAGAGAACTGTTGTGTTCAAGGTGAGGTTGAGGCCTTAGGATAATTTATCGCATTAGGCTTTTCCGTTCAGTTTGATTTGGGCAAATCTGATGCAGAAGCAGGTAGCTTCATATGATATAATTTGCTTCTGTTCTGTTCTGTTCTCAGGGTGCTTTTGAGAGATTTTTTATCAAATCCAGTTTTATTTTGTGCATCTTCTGCCGGGCTAGTTAGTCATCCCCAGGTTACCTGCATAGTAATTTTTCCTGAGGGCAGACAACATTTAACATCTCCACTGCACTTTTGAGATGCCAGGGGAGTGTTTGTGCAGCCAAATGCGGGCCCGGCGGTGATGACTGTTCGTGTTTAAACGCCAACCAAAGCACTGCTCTCTCACCACTAGTTTAAAACCACAATATGTGAGTCAGAGAAAGCAAAACGAGACAGACAGACTCCTGCATGTTTTTTTCACTGCATCACCTCCTTTTACTCCTCCTGGCAACTCCTCCTGTTACTAACTGCAGTCTCTGTTTTCTTCAGTGACTTGCTGTCTTCAGATTATGTTGAGATCCACTATGAAGGAGAGAAACCTGTTATATCAAAGGTAATGTTTAAGTAGACACATTTCTCAGTTATTTTGCTGTGGTGGGCCATGTG